CATTATACGTCTTTGTATACATGACTGCAGATTGAATATCATATTATATCGTACCTTGAGTAGTATAACCTTCCAGATCGAATATATATATTTATATAAAGAAATATAAAGACGACAAGGCACAGTACAATTGTACGACGTTAATAAATATATGTAGAATGTATTATTATCTGGAAATTGTGTCCAATTCGAAATTCACCATTGACAGAAAACACCGTCGATTTAGTTTTTTGAACAAAATATATTTTTTTGGCTAAAAATTGCCCAAAAAAGTGTTTACCAGTTCTGTTCAATAGTGAGTCAGACAAAGCAAACACCAGGTCAAGATGAGTCCAATAAACGTTGTAAACGTTAGGCTTCTAGAAATAATTGGCTTAGTTATTGGTTGGACGCACTGGAAATAATTGTATTCTTTCCTTCTTTAACTTCAGTAGTAGATTTAAAGTAATGCCAAAAAACAATACTGTATCAGACCTTGACTGTGTCTAGAATTGTAAGCCCCAAAATACAAACTCTATTATATACATGTAGATTATTCTGTTGTATTGATCTGGACTAGACACATTTGACAGTGGCTCTACAAGGATCGAGTGTTGTCGGCCTGTGAATGTTCAAGATGAGTTTAGACAGGTATCAGATATCGGGTAGGAAATAGAGCCAGTTAAGCCTTTTTTGTAGGCGTGAACAAAAATAGAATATTTTTTGTTGAAACTTGTAAAGAAATAATGCCCTTGAACAAATGTCTGCTACCCGAAAATTGCGTCCACGTCATTATATTTCGTCAAAGTTAACTTAATAAGACCATAAGTTGTAAGTGCCGACCATGTTGTGACGGTTCGTGCGATTATGGAATCCTTTCCATTCTGTCTTTGAAAGTATCAAGTTGTGCACTTTTATTCAATGCCCAGCATCTTAGAATTTTTTTTCTATAATACTAGTAAACATTGTATTCACCTTCAGTTGTGTTTGCATCGTAACACAAAGTAACATGGCTTTAGCTTACCCAATAATATGTTTTTCATGTTCACTGTTTGGTCGTTTTTGATATATGCTTAAATAATAAACAGAAACAAAATCGTGAATTGAATATTACCAAAGCAAAATATTAGACTTGACTTGTAAACAGTAATCATAAAAGTAATTGATTGATACTTATTAATTGAATATAATTATAATAACACCCCTCGGGCAGTAAATATCAGCTCTAACGGCGTTGTGTTAGAATCGTCTGAGGCTGCTATGAAGTTAATTGAACGCATTCTAAATTTCTAGTAACAACGTTATTAACAAACAAAGACTCAGACTCCTCCCCAAGGTTTTATTTTTCATGTATGCACATAAAATCTACTCCATATTAAACATTGAACTTATACCACGATTATGACGTCCCAGTAATATTTACGGTTACTACTGCTACATCCGCGCCGTATTTGTATTTTGAATGTTTAGGTATGTTCACGTTTCAAGGAAACAATATATCGAGCTGTTAATTATTCTGCCTGTTTTGAAATATAGCATTAGTGTGAGTTAGAGCATGCATCAATTCTGATATGAAGGGTTTTCAGACGTGAAAGAAAGTATTTTATTTAACGTTTTTGAAACCCAAAACTGAAAAATGTCATTTTGAAATTCAATTTATTTGGGACTCATTGCTCATATTAAGAAACTACGATTACTTTCATTTTCGTGAAGTCAAGCAATCGCATAAATAACATTCTTGAGGTAACGCTATCCACAATTTGTCTAGCATCACAGCCAATGAATGAAGGTAATCCTAATAACCCGTAATTAAACATGCTAATCCCTTTTCCTGCTCATAACTATATTATACACCGAAAAGTTACATAACTAATTTAGCTTATTGTTCAGTGAATATGTAGATCTCCACAGCAGCCGACACTAAAGTAGAACCAGATTTCTAGAATTATGTCAATCTAGGCATCGCATATTCCATAATAAGAGGTACGATTTTAAAACTAAACACCACAAAGCAGGAATACATCTTACATATATTAAAATATGTAGGTCAAAATGTATTACAACGTTTTGTTGTATAATTTGTGTTCAGTTATTGAAAACTGTACGAATATTTCAGATAATATTGTGGTTCAAAATGTATAACTATCTTCCCTTCGAAATCGATGGTTTTAACATCACTCGGTGCCCGTGGCTCTCCATTAGAGAGAAAAACGACATGAATGACTGAGTCAATATTGTGACAAAAATAAAAACTTTTGTCGATAACAACAAATTGACAAAGCGTATACATAATGGTAGACTTCGATATTGCGTTGTAATCTATATTTCGTAATGGAATTCACCAAGTTATTCTTGTTAGATTATCCACTTAAGTGATATATACTGTTTAAAAATCATATCAAATGATAGTATTCAAGGTTACGTCACAAATAACAAGTGCACATATAAAATACTCACTAATCCATAGCATTTACTGAAATATGCATATTTGATTGTTATGCTTATACATTCATTAACTAATAGAACAAACACCACATATATTACCATGGACTCTCCTATTTTTTTTTAAATCACTTTCTGCATATTTTTTGAAAGTGTGTTTATACATATTTTAAGCAAAATATAACTCCATCCAGTTGACTGAAAGCATCAAAAGCATACATCTGCTTAAAGGCAAATTTGGGGTTCGACCTCATTAGTCGTCTGCACACTTAGTAGTGAGAACACGTGTAGATACTGTTCACCTGTGGCATTCAGGGATGACATTATGTCGTCCAGCCGGAGGGACGTAAACTTATCGAGTCTACATTCTGTTCGTATTCTCAGAGCACTATTGACGCAATGGGTCGATAACTAGTAGGGAATGACGCGAACTACCCTTAAAAGATAATAATTAGGTTCCTCTGGAAAATAGGTATTTGGCTAACATGTTAAATAAATCAAGAATAAAATAGAGCAGCATACATTTCGAATACATTTGAAATACATGGGCATTGTTTTCGTGTTCGAATGTCTTCAATATATAGATCTATAGTTTTTGAGGTGGGATAAATCAATAATCCTTGGAATAATATTTGTTGGCAGTGTTTTGTAATTAGATATCCATTAATGAATGACTGAACAAAATTTAGCAACAAAATAATTCAGTTAAAAAATAGTAGCAAGTAACTTTTATATTAAAAATTAAATTGCAAAGAGTGTGTTACATTGGCGTGTAAATCCCAAAATGGTATAGTATTAGACAATATTAAACCGATTGAATTGCCGATTAACGGAATTACAGACATCACTTACAATCAATGACATTCGAATTCAGTGTGGGCATTGTCGTATCATTTGAAACCTAAAGTATCAGTTTTAATTAAATTAAATTATCTAAAAAAAAATTAATGTAAAGTTTAAATAAAAGGTAGACGCATATTTTAGTTCTCTCATATTACGCAGATTATGTGTTCATGATGAGCCTGGAATTAAAAAAAGCAGGAGTATTTAAGCTTAGGATAACATGCAAACAGCCAACTTAAAACCCAAACTTCGCATGTTTATGTGGCTTGTCTAGATTGCTTAGTACAATGATTGAGGTATTGTCTGTAATGATTCTATTCCTTCCTACATCATTATCATCAGTTCAAATGAGGCATCTTACCTTTTTCCTCTCGAGTGATTATGAAATGATCCTGCATAATCTTGCAGTCATTCGTCTAGAAATCAAAAAATAGGAATTCTCAAGGCTTGCGTGCGAATAAACACAGTCAGGTTTAATTTAAGACATAGCTGGGTCATCGAAATCACCATATTCATGCACATATAACCAATGGCTTTGTAACATTATAATATACTCTCGATATTAAGTACATTCATAAGCAAATGTTCTTTGTCACGTATGTTTCTCTTCAGTATACTCCACTAATAAAAACTGTCCTCTCAATTGGCGAGGTGGAGTTTGAGGGAATATGTGTGCGTTAGACACACACAACAAGTAATACATCATCTGGAGAAAGATCACGATGTGCCTCTTTAACTAGATGAGCATTTACCATCATTGCGTTTGACTGAAAGATAATTGTCAGACCGATTTTCAGTGGTCGAAATACGTGAATTGTTTTTGAAACGTTTGGATTGGTTATCTGGACATTGCTCGAATGTAATCAACAATCGCTCCAGGCGGTTTCTATAACCAATGCTACTCGCATTGACATGTCTTATATTGCGTATTATAATACTTTTGTCATATATACTCGTTTGAAGTTGAAATGGCCTCATTCGTCTGTACAAAAGAAAATAATGAACACAACTCCCAGTTTGAAAAGATATAATTTTATTAATAGCTTTATTGAGTAATGCTTCATCCTACAATATATACATCATCAAATAAAAAACTCACAATGAAAAATCGCAATTAACTGAGTAATATGGATGTCAAGCATTATATATTATAAAACTAATTCTTGTTAATTGTAATTTTTGTAAACGTGTTCTATTAAACAATATCTTAACTTTTTAATTAGTAACGAATAACACATTTTTTTAATAAATGTAATTCTGAATAAAAGGAAATCCTTCTTTTATAACATCATAAATTGTCAACAATAATTTTGTTTACATTTGTGGTGATCATATGGCTCATATGTGCAGCTGCGACTGATTTAACATTTACTTAGTTCCATAACGCTCTAAATGTAATTACATCCACCATAGAGTAAAAGCGATGAAAGTACACAAAACTGCTTTGTATTCCAAAATCCTTTCGAAAAACCTATTCACTTTATTCTCAAAGTCAAGAGACTAAATGTCCACTGTAGTATTAGTTTAATGTTGATATTAATATAAGTTATTGATATTATTCTCTGGTATATATTGCCCGTTCCTATATCTGAAATAAAGACAGTATATTCAGTGTGGCTATATACAAAGCACAGATGAACGTATTCATTATTGAGCACTAATTAACAATATTACGTGAATCTTAACTATATTGGTTGTGAAGATAACGCTTTGAAACCTGACATCACTTAGCTGTGTTAATTATTACTCGTTGTTGCATTCAGTTTTTGCATTGTCAGACGATTACAATCAACATTCTCCTCGACTGTGTTACTGCGACTCGATAGGTTCACGCCCGATGTACTGTAGCGAAGTGGCAAACGACTTTTCGGCGATGGACATGTGAACGCAGTGTAAAAAGAACTCCTGTAGCTCGAACTCAAAGCATTATACACTAACGGGTTCATAGATGAATTCACTTCAAGAAGTATGGTTGCCACGTTATTACTGACAATTAGCTTGTCTAGTATGTTGTCGATATTGTAATTTAGGGCATTCAGTACTAACATGAATGCTTGAAAAACGCTTGGTAACATACAAATGAAATAAATGCAAGCTGTTGCTATACAGATTCGTATTATTTGCTTCTCACGGCATCTGACAGTGGCTGTCGAAGCTCGTACGCGACAAATAATATTGATATATACGGCAGTGACGATTACCAGTAAAGTTGTTAGAGTCACTAGGAAGATTATACCGCTGACCACCACATGTCTCTCATAACTACGGGTCGTAATAATACAAGCACTAAATTGCTCCGACGAGAAAAGCAAAGCCATAAGCCAGGTACCAACAATCACGGTTGCTACAACACAAGGTCGGTGAATCGCTCCGTTGCGATAGACGATCGGCCGGCATACAGCTACATATCGCTCAAGACTCAACACCGTTACTGTGAACATTGACACATATTGGCTCACACGAGAGAACACCAAGAAAACACAAAATACGGGTAAGTTGGTGTCCTGGTTGACGGGACACGGGTTGGCAAGTACACCACACAGCCAGAGTGAAGTATGGGTTATCAGATGTAACAAATCCGCAAAAGCCAAGTTGACTAAATAGGCATTCGTGACAGTTTGCATGGAGCACACTCGAATCACGACAAAGAGAAATGCTACATTACCAAGGACACCAAACGCTGATATGGATAAAGCAACAAAGCAGATTCGCGAACAAGTTTCATCAAATCCACGATGATTTTCAGTCGTATTATACATGATAAGCTCTTCGTAGCCTGTACTGGATGTATTCATTGTCGATGGTAGGTACATTTAGTGATGATGACAACTATTTAGAAAGGACTAGCTATGTAGACCGATCGCAATTGCCGTTGCTATCGCGACAGACAGCCTCATTATGATCCAGCTACATATGGCATATGTTTAGTATTGCGTTACTGAACAGATATAATAATGTATCTTTCAACGTTGGTTTATGAATTAATCTGGTCATCAATATGTTTTACTTTAAATTAATACCGATGGCGTGTATTTGTTTCTTAGGTATTTACGCAAGGGGGTTGCCAATAAATACAGACAATCCATATCTATGTTGTCATGGCAACTGGCACCATCGTGATGGCAATAGATTAGAAATAGAAACATGAACGCAATTTTGTTAAGATAGAAAATACAATGTCGGTTCATACGTATACGTATGTGTTCATACGTACGCATGCATTGACCTTAATACAACCACTGATATATCTAGTACGTATGCATTAAACTGCTAATATTACAAATGGACAAATTGTAATACTACACAAAGAATAACAGTCCACCAGGGGCGAGGTATACACACAATTTAACCAGTTTCACAACATATACATACGAAGAATTGCATGTGTATATAGAGCAGACTTGTAAAAATTGAGCTATATCCTTGCCTCTGGGTTGGCTATTATTATTATTATTATTATTATTATTATTATTACTATTACAAACGCAATTTTAAAGTAATTTTGAGACAGGGAATTAATTATATTTGCCATAAAAAATTGAGTGGTATACCCGCCTCTGGCTGGTTGTTTCTATGAAATTATACAAACCGTATTTCTTTATAAGTTTGAGGCGCACAAATAAGTTCTCCGGCATTCAAAACGCTCCATATACATCCGTAATTGTACAAAATAAAAATTCGAGTAGAACATACACAACCAATATGAAAACATCGAGGGTGAGCCTAAATGCGCACGATTATTTTGGTATTTTGGGATATGTTTATGCGGTTTCCTGTGGGAGGCAACGTTGATAATTCTCTCAGCTACATGATTTTCAAAGAATACCGACCCCGATTAGCGTTATACGCCTGACAGCGCTTCGAGTGTCGACACAATTACCAAAATTGCGTTAATCAAAAACAAATCATAATTCTCTTGCTTCGTCTTTAAAACAAAACATTCCACTGCTGTCTAAGGTTTTCATTGTAGTAGCGTGAAATAGTATTGTGAGCAATTTCATTGACATAAGCCTTTAACTTGTGCGTTATTCGTGTTCAGATTGTACTTCTAAAATCAGGAAAACTGTTGTATATCTTGGCCAAATAATGAAAAGTACTCTAGTAACTAATTCAAATGCTGGTGTAAAATAACTACGAATATATGTATTACGAATACGTATTACGGATGGCGGCATGTTACCAAACTATTACAAAGATTGTCATTTAGGTCACTGTTTAGACGCTTCTACCAATTGATTTGTCATTGATTTAAACAAAAATCGCTATTGATTTCCAATTGTAAAAATATGTGTCAGTATAGTGAGAAATACAACTATGAGGTTATTACGAGGAAACTGCAAAGCATGCACCTAGACCGCGTACTGTCTGAGTAAAACCGGCTTATTATTATCCTCCCAGGAATACATCATGGGAATACCGGAATCTAAAACGTTCAGACAGTACGCTGGTGCATCGACCTCCGCTGCACGTCGGGCGATACACCAGCTGTACTGTCTTCGTGCTTACTTTGATGTATTCTCGTAATGACCTCATATTATTAACAGGCATTGGTTCATGTATGATGACATAATGTCGTCAAACAATATTATGTGAAACAATAAGCTATGGTCGATATCAAAAACAAAAGTCTGGGTTCTGATCACACATTAAATCGACAAGTCATACATATTATACTAAATATGTGCTTCTCATAGAAACAATAAATGACAATACATATGAATAAATTGACGAGAAAATAATAATATTAATGAAATTGTATTTTTTAATCCGACAACAATACAGTCAGTAGATGTTCTGAGTAATGGCTTGAATCAAACAATCAAAATGTTATCAAAAGTGATTATACAAAAGAGAAAAGGTAGCATTAAACAATATTCTGAATAGTCTTTTTATACAAGAACAGCTCTACTTTACAGCACAATTCTTTACCATTATGGTAATTCATACTGTTTTTTCAACAACTGTAGTTTGAAGGTAAATTATTAAATTGTGCTCATAAGTACCGAATTATATTAACCCCTGTTTAATGTATTGTTTGGCCAATCTAACACCTTGGAGAAATATAATATCAGGGCTGAGGCAACTTTAGCTAGCTCAAACAAGTATATAAGTTCATTACGAATATGATAATTGGAGTAAAAGCAGAATGAATGAATCTAATAGAGCGTTAGTATTACGTAAAATAAACAAAAGTAAAAAGGTTTTAATATATATAATTCGATATATGATTTATAAATTAACATTTATTACAAAAACTCTGAACTGGTTGTCAACCTAATGTATATTATATCTCTACATCTAACGTTTTTAAGGGCTTCACAAAATCAATTGTATAATTAACAATTTTAATGTTCCAAACTCCGCAAAATGTCACATTGGTTGTCGCCAGTGTGTGGGCTAATCATTGATGTTTTCGACAACAATGGAACGCAGAATATTCTTGTAAGTGTACACATCCTCTATATCTACGATTTGTGCTGTTAGAATTAGCTTTGTTGATTATCCGTGAAAACATTATTTTTACTGCTCTTTTATTTTGTCGACATGTTCAACATACTGTACGTTCAAAAACGAATATCAGGGTCACGCCAGTATAATCTACTAAGCGACTCACAGGAAACAAACGCGCCCATGTCTACGTTTACGCTTTGAAAGAGCTTGCAATGACATATATATCGTGCCTTCTTTCTCTAATATGTGCACTTATCCTGGTTTGACATAATATCTAGAGTGCTTGATGACGATATGCTTGACTTTTACAATCGCTCACATGGGAGCAAACTGACGTATTCAATTACCAACATTCAATCATTTATGCAGTCTCAGTCGAATCTGGCCAATGTGGGTTTTTCTAGCACTGTGAACTTTCGCATTACAACATACTATTATTAGTTGTCTGTTTAATAGTCATGCATTGCTTTAAATTCTTATATAGAAACGTTTCACATACGAATACTCTGTAGCGGGATATAACCTACCAGAGGACACATTTTCCTTTGTGCAAGTAAGCAATGTAACTGTTTTATTTGCTGTAAAAGCTCAAATTGCTCATTGTGTGAACTGAGTTATATTGCATATCACTGCTATTTTACAGTCATGCAAAACAGAATGACATGCATGTTGTTTGTGTTCCGCAATTACGTCATTGCTGTAGATCCCGTTCAGTTGAATGCAGTTCACATAACGACCTTCGTTTTCTTGATCTCTAAAGCAACACTGGAGCAGAAAGTGATGACCTATATGGCATACTGTAAATCCAAGGCGCCGAAAGTTCATCTGTGAACCATCTATCATACGAACGTTCCCTTACAGAAGCGCGCTACATTTAACATTCACTAAAATATATCCTTTTTCCCGTATATTTGGCAATACGATACGTTGGAATACGAATGCATTCTTGGCGCGGGTAGTAAGAAATGAGACTACGTCCCCAACAGTAAACATATGAATAGAATACATACTAGGACATATTACTGTAAAAATCTGGGAAATGGTACGTGTAGTGGTAACCACGCGTTGAGGTTTTTTTATTAATAACCTGTCTCACTTGTAAATAAAATTATTTTTTACCAGACACATCACAGTGTACATGTTATACTTTGGAGTAATAACACAGGCTATATATTACATTAAACAAATCATTGTTCAGCAAAATACGCATAATTGTGTAATGTATAAGGCACATATATTACCACATAATTTGTGAAAAACACCATAACGTCACGCGATCATGATGATAATTGTCAGAATATAGTGTCAACAAAATTTTCTGACAAAATTGTGACTAGCCTACATTATAAGTTTAATTTACCTATAATCTAGGAAGCAGACTCATTATGTTTAATTTTACAATAGTATATTCAACAAAACTTTGTAGTTAATATGTACCCGTTGAAATAGTTGATAAAGTTGGTGTTTTCTGTCGATAATAAATTATAGCAGGTGACAAGATAGGGAAACATACTTAATTACAATTGACCGATCTACGATTTGTTTGTGTATCATCAGAACACCTTCAATGACATGCTGAAATAATGAATTTAATCTTGTAATAGCCTTTATTTAATAGAATGAGTTTGACTCAGCTGGGGTCGAGATCATTTGTAAATTCAACAAAGGTTGTGTTACGTATTTCTGTGTTTTGTTTAGTCTTATTTAGTTTTGTTTTTGTGAATGCAAACACATTTACCATTGAGCTAGGGAGACGCCCATGCATTGACTATAAAGGGGTCGTCGGACGTGAATTCGTGGTCAGTCATTACAATACCTCGCGTCGTCAGCAGGTGTGTCGAGGTGCTGGTGTGGTCACGTGGCGTGTGAGCCAATTGGGTGCCCATTCACCGCACGTACTTCAACACCGTCACCGTACGTTACCAATGCTGCAGTTCTGCTATGCCGTTTTATGCTGAGTTCAGCTATTACTTCAAGGCGTGTTCTTCGACTGAATACTACAACTGAACAGCTGAACTATGATGTGCGTGAACATCGCCGACTGACTATCCAAATCTATGACCAGCGAATTGCAGGATACGTGGACGTCACCGTCTCAAGTACGTATTTCTACGTCGCCGTTCCGGCGTTAGTGTATTTCCGCGTTACCGTAGCCAAAGATATTGCCTGTGGAACTAACTGTGTTCATCAACTAAACTAAAGTGTAGCGTACATATTTTGTAATTATATTGAATTCCAATGATTTGTATTTGCATGACAGTATTGTAATTGTAACTGCTTTAAGGGCAAGCATTCCCAATAATTGTATATCTCTATTGAGCTGAGATTGTAGCGTTTCCGAAGC